TGGGGATTCGAACCCGCCACCTTAGGTGTATGTGGCTGGCGCCTTAGCCACTTGAGCCACAGGCGCCAAGCCTAGATTAGGATTCTTAATGCGGATTTCACAACAAACCAACTTCATCAACTTGGGCAAGTGATTTAAAAACTTCTCTGAGGCCAGGTGCAGTGACTCAGGCCTGTAATCCTAGTATTCTGGGAGGCCAAGGTGGGTGGATCACCTGAGCTCACAGGTTCTAGACTAGCCTGAGCCAGAGCAAGACCTCATCTCTAAAAATATCCAGGCATTGTGGTGGGTGCCTGTAGTCCCAGCTACTTGGGAGGCTGAGGCAAGATAATTGCTTGAGCCTAAGAGTTTATCGCTTGAGCCCAAGAGTTGAGGTTGCTGTAAGCTATGACACTACAGCACTTTACTGGGGGTGACAAAGTGAGACTCCATCTCCAAACAGAAACTTCTCCGAGCTTCAGTTTCCTCCTCTGTGAAAAGAATGTAAGTATTTCCACAAATGGGAAGAATAATAATAGCAAACCTAAAAGAATATAGGGTGGTCCTTGGGACTTGGAGAGGGTAAGGGAACAGAGGTAAGAGCCTCCAGCCCTTGCAAAGGTCCAGAGGCAGAAAGATGCCAAGTTGTTAGAGAAATGGCAGAGGCCAGAGTAGCTGCAGCAAGTGAGGTGGGAAGAGAAGAAGCCAAAGCAAGTCATCTCAGCGACTCCATCCTGCAGGTCCCTGTGGGTCACTGTAAGGACTTGGGCTTTTACCCTGCGTGCGATGGGAGCCCTCAGACTGTTTTGAGCTGAGGGGCAACAAGATCTGAGTTGGCTTCATCAGGATCCCATTGTGTGCTGTGTGGAGAACAGGGTGGTAGGGGCAAGGGGCAGGTCACTGAGCTACCCAGGGGAGATCAGCAACTTGGACTAGGTTGGGGGAAGGAGTGGCAGTGAGAGTGGTCAGATTCTGGAAATTGAATGCAGAGCCTCAGCATTTGCTGATAGATGGTAGAGTTCCCCGTGATTCTTGTGTAGCTTTAACAAGAGAGTTTGCACACACGCTTTGCGTGGCACCTGGTACCCAGTAAGGTTATCATCATCATTAGTACTCGCTGGAATCAAAATGCTGCCAGAGCTCTGGGATGCCCTTTTCTTCCTTGTGAGTAAACTGAGGCAGAACTTCAGCCTTGTGGCACTAGGTGGCAGAGGACCATGGAGACAGAGGCCATTGGAGCTCTAGCTCATGGTTCCAGAGTTGAGTCCAGCAGAGGGCACCAGAGCACCACAGAAGGTCTCATTGTCCAGGTGGCTGAGCCAGGTCGGGAAGTGCTGGCCAATGTTCACTTGCTGACCTTTATTGAGCACCTACTGTATGCCCAGCTCCAAGCCAAGCTTTGCCTGTGGATAGAGCTGGTATGAAAAGAGACCCTGGGGCTCGGCGCCTATAGCTCAACCGGCTAAGGCGCCAGCCACGTACACCTAAGGTGGCGGTTCGAATCCCCAGCCTGGACCCGCCAAACGACAATGACGGCTACAACCAAAAAATAGCCGAGCGATGTGGCGGGTGCCTGTGGTCCCAGCTACTTCGGAGGCGGAGGCAAGAGACTTGCTTGAGCCCAGGAGTTGGAGGTTGCTGTGAGCTGTAATGCCATGGCACTCTACCTAGGGGGACAGCTTGAGGCTCTGTCTCAAAAAAAAAAAAAAAAAGAAAAGAGACCCTGGGATGACCATGGGCCTGGCCCGGTGACCACATTGCATTCTGTATCACCATTACAAGAGTGGGCATTCTGGGTTATTGGGGAAGTATCTGAATTCATTTGTTCTGCTGTAACATAATACCACAGACTGGGTCATTTATAAATAACAGAAATTTATTCCTCATAGTTCTGGAGTCTGGGAAGTCCAAGACCCAGGTGCTGGCAGATTTGGTGACTGGTGAGGGCCACTCTCTTGTTGCATCCTCTGGAGGGGAAGACGCTGTGTCTCCACATGGCAGAAGCAGGAGAGCAAGAGAGTGAACTCATTCTCCCAAGCCCTTATATAAGGGCCTAATCACATTTATGACAGCTCTGCTCTCAGGACTGAATCACCTCTTCAGGGCCCTACCTCGTAATACCATCACATTAAGTTTCAACACATGGGCCAGGTGGGGTGGCTCACACCTATAATCCTAGCACTCTGCCAGGCTGAGGCGGGAGCATGGCTTGATACCAGCAGTTCAAGACCAGCCTGAGCAAGAGTCAGACCCCTGTCTCTACTAAAAATAAATAGAAAAATTAACTGGGTGTCATGGTGTACCCCTGTAGTCCCAGCTACTTGAGAGGCTGAGGCAGGAGGACCACTTGAGCCCTGAAGTTTGAGATTGGAATGAGCTATTATGATAGCACTTTAGCCTGGGTGATAGCGTGAGATCCTGTCCAAAAAAAAAAAGAAGTTTCAAGATGAATTTAGAGGAACACATTCCGACCATAACAGGAGAGGACAAAGAGTCTCCAAATTGGAAGACAGTTTGGGTTTGTGTCCTGGCCCTTCTCCTTACTTGCTATGTGACATCAAGCAAGTTGCTCAGCTTCTCTGAGTCTCCTGTTCCATCCCAGGATTGTTGTGAAGAGTAAGACGAATGAGTAAGAAATCACCTGGCAAGCTGTAAAATACCCCACCAAGAGGGGTAAGGTGGCAATTTCCAGCCTTGCTTGGAACCAGAATAGCAATATCTTCTGAGGTTCTAGAATTTGGATTCTGAACCCTCTGTCAACAGGAATAAATAAGGTTTGGCACTGATTAGCCACAGATTGCTATGTGGCAGAGCAAGCCGTCTCATCTTAACTTTCCTTATCTGTAAAATGGGGGTGTTCCCAGGGCCTCCTTCAAAGGGAGTTAAATACCACATGGGGGCCCCTTGGCTCTGTGTGCTTGAGGCCTGGTAGCCGTCGTTAGTAATGACAACCAGTCTGTGTAGTCTTAAGAGCCCTATGTTCCCTGTGTTCCTGTCCCCTGAAGAAAGGGGGCTGTAAGTAGCTCCAGGCCCCATGGAGGGGGGCAGGAGTTTGCCAAGTGGTCAGGGTGGGGCTTCTGGAGCCTCTGGAGGAAGGCTGCCAACACCCTGAGTCCACCCTGCCCCCCCACCAGGAGAGACCTTCTTGCCCTACTACACGGGCCGGGCCATTGATGGCATTGTCATCCAGAAGAACATGGATCAGTTCAGCACGGCCGTCGTCATCGTGTGCCTGCTGGCCATTGGCAGGTACTGGCTTGACCACACACCCTGCCCCACATACCCGAGGCCTGCCCCAGAGAGGGCAGGCAGGTCTGGTCCCTAAGGAGAATGTGGGCCAGGTTGGCCCCAGAAACACTTCTGCCATGCCTGTCCCTTGGCCAGTCACTGTGGTAACCAGTCCCCAAACTGTAGGGCCACAACCTAGAGCCATACCTTTTCATCCCCCAAAAGGGCTGCAACCCTTGGGGTTCCCCACTCACTCTCCCTGACTATTTTCCAAGCAGGAATCTGGACTTGAAACAAGGACCAGCTTTGTCTGTGCTGCTTTTCCATCAGGGAGAGGGCTCTAGTTGGCAAATTTGGGGCTCAAACCCCATCCATTCTCCCCTTCACCCTCACTCTGGGAGTGCTAGTCAGGGAGGGGGTCAGCCCTGGAGTCTGGGCCGAGGTGGGACCCCTGTACCTGCTGGCGGTGGGAGGGGGCAGCCAGGTGTGGCTGGTGGTTTTCGGAAGGCGTCTGCTATAACATCTCTTATCTGCAATTAGCTCATTTGCCGCAGGTATTCGGGGCGGCATTTTTACCCTCATATTTGCCAGACTGAACATTCGCCTTCGAAACTGTCTCTTCCGCTCCCTGGTGTCTCAGGAGACAAGCTTCTTTGATGAGAATCGCACAGGTTGGTCCTCGCAGTGCTGTGGGTGTCCTGGGGGCCAGGCTGGCCGGGGTGGGCTTGCCTCACACTGAGGAGTTAAATGGGCATGTGGTGGTCTCGATCCTGCTGGGCATTCCTGCCATTAGTTCAGGGTGGAAACACCCTGGAGAGCTGGTTTTCTTCCTGAGATTTTGGTTTGGGCTGTGGCCTATGGAGGGCCCTATAGGGGCTACCCAAGGTCCCTGTAAGGGCTAAAGCCTTGTTTCTATTGTCCTGTGGAAACCACAAGGGCCAGATGTGGCCTGCAGAGGTTGGGGCAAAGGCCCAAGCAGGCAAACCAAGATAGCATCCCGCTGAGATCTCAAGTTCTGAGGCATGCCAGCCTGGTTGCAAGCCCCAGTTCCACACTCACTCAACCTCTCAAGCCTCTGCTTTTGTATCTGTAAAATGAGAGCAATTAGAGCAGCCACCCCAGCGGTTGATCTGAAGCTCTTAGCCCAGTGCCCAATTTTGGTAAGGGGTGTCTGTTTTTTTCTCCTCTTTGGGCCCAGATTGCTACTTCTCTAAAAGGGAAGAGGAGATATTCCCCCTCTGCCAGTGACAGGGAATAGACATGAGTTTGAAGCCTGGCTCAGTCTGGGACAAGCTGTGTGGAGCCAAGCTCCGTCATTTTGAGCCTCCACCATCCCCGCCGTGCCACAAGATGGCATGAAGCTTAAACAAGATGCTGGCGACTAGGACTGGGCTCAGTGTGGCCCTCGGGTGTCAGTCCTTTTCTCCTCACCCCCCCACCCTGCCCAGAAGGTGGGGAAGGCCTGACTGCCTGGTCTGTCTCAGATGCCCCTTAATGTCCCATTGGCACCCCAGCAGCCCTCATTGCTGCAGCGGGGGCTGAGCTGCCTGTGTTCCAGGGGACCTCATCTCCCGCCTCACCTCCGACACCACCATGGTCAGTGACCTAGTCTCCCAGAACATCAACGTCTTCCTGCGGAACACGGTCAAGGTCACAGGCGTGGTGGTCTTCATGTTCAGCCTCTCCTGGCAGCTCTCCTTGGTCACCTTCATGGGCTTCCCCATCATCATGATGGCATCCAACATCTATGGCAAGTACTATAAGGTAGGCTCTCCCGGTCCCTGCAGGGTCTGTAAGCCCTGGCAGTTCCCAAATATCCCCTCGAAGGAATTCAAGGGGCCACTAGGGGATAGTGAAGGACTTGTCTTGAGGTTGTGTTTATATTCATTCATTCACTCATCCAATCAGTTTTTATTGAACACCTACTGTGTTCCAGGCACTGGGGTGCATCGGTGAACAGACAAGGCCCCTGCCCTGGTGAAGCTATATTCTAGTGGAGGGACAGATAATAGGTAATGACAGAAGCAGTAATGACGATGGCAAGTGGTAAGCAGAAACATGGAGTGAGGAAGAGTGGGAGCACTGGGGCTGGCTGCTGAGCAGGCGGCATTTGAGTAAGGATCTGAAGAGTGTGGATGTCTTGGGGCAGTGTGTGCCAAGGGCATAGCCAATGCAAAGGCACTGAGATGGGAAGGTGTGTTTAGGGACCGGCAGTGAGGCATGAGATGTGAGAGTGGAGTAGACTGGAAAGGAGGGCCTAGGGGTGACGGGTGAGCCTTGCACACCAGTTCACTCTCCTGTAGGTTGTGTGTGTGGGAGTGGCTCCAGCCCTGCCCATGACATAGCTGTAGGCAGGCTGCAGTCCTCTCAGCCACCCTTGGCACTGACATTGCAAGGGAGGTCAGCCTGTGAGCTAGGCCTGGCCTCAGCCTCCTCCTGCTTCCCAGATGGTGGGGGGAGGGGGAATGCCAAGGCCAATGGGACTAGGGCTGAGTTCCAGCAGGCAGGTGTGTGACCAGTGCCTTCTGTGACAGCCCAGGCCCATAGCAGTGTACTCCTGACCAGGGCCTTTGACATGTGACAGCTCTGTGTAGGGCTGGTTAGATCACTGTCCCTAGCTCTGTTAGAACCTTTGGTGCCTGTGACCTGAACCATGCAGCAACGGAAGACATCTCCTATCTCTCCCCTAAGGGAACCTGGTCCCCTCAGCCTTCTCCAGACACCCAGGAGGGACTTCTTGCCCCACAGTTCTGGGCTGTGAGCCTCACCATTTTCCTCACTAAGCAGAAAGTCAATGTGTTAGAGTTGGAGCTGCCTCCTTTGCTCTGTCCCACACCTACCCCCTTCCTACCTTCCCACAACCTCTGGGACAGGAAACCATGGAGCTCCCCCCTCCAACCCACAGCTGTGTGCACCTCAGGCCCCCACCTTCAAGTTCAGCTGGGCAGGGCCTAAGGGAAACTGTACTTAGGATTTCCGCCCCATCTGTGAATGTGGTGAATGGAGCCTGCGAGTCATCACATACTGCCCACGGCCAGACATGACTCAGGGTGTGGCGTGGCTCCTCAGGGGCCAGAGCACCCCGCACACTCACTATGGCCTAGGTGTGACATGCAGGTCATGAGACATGCCAGTGCACAATCCTGTCCTCCCAGGCAGACACCCTGGCTGACTTAGGACTCAGCGTGTGGTTAACTACTGCAAAGTCTGAACAGCTCTACCTAAGAGCCTCTTGCAGGAGTCTGGAGGCCACACACACCCATTGGGACCACTTTTCAGCCATCTCCCCCTGCTTATATACACAGGATGGGGACAGGCGTCACAACCCATGGCCTTCACCACCATCTAGAACTTGGCTGGGAATTCTAGAATCTCTGTTCCAGTCCACAGACCAGACTCTCACATAGTTTATGCTGATGATGTAAATGGTCCCACCTTAATAATTGGTGTTTCTTATGTAATGTACAACCTAAACCACCAGCACAGGATCAGCTGTTGAGGTTCTTTTTCTAGCAGGATTACCAAAAACTGTACAGTCACGGACAGCCTCTTTTGAGTTCTGGAGATGACTTGATGATCAGCGCCCCTCTTCCTTTGGGAGCTGGAGCCATCTCCCCAAGGAGTCTGACAAGTCAAGTTGGGAGGAGACTGGGGAGCAGGGGAGCCCGTCTCTTTGTCCTAGGGCTTCCTGTGTGCAACTGGCAAAGCCCAGAGAGGCTTGGGGCCTGGGTAGGTATATGTGAGGGTCTATTTTAGGTCTCCTCCTCTGCCCCCTTCTGCCCATAGAGACTCTCCAAAGAGGTCCAGAATGCCCTGGCCAGAGCCAGCAACACCGCCGAGGAGACCATCAGTGCCATGAAGACTGTCCGCAGCTTTGCCAACGAGGAGGCAGAGGCGGAGACCTACCTGCAGAAGCTGCAGCAGGTGTATAAGCTGAACAGGAAGGAGGCGGCAGCCTACATGTACTACGTCTGGGGCAGCGGGGTAGGTGCCTCTGGCCCTGCCCAGGGTTGGGGGGTGCACAAGAGGGGACTCACTCGTGCATGCTGGTATTGGGCTGCCTGAGAATCTTTCCAGAGAACACAGCCACCCGGGAAATGCCCTCCTGTATGTCTCCTCTCTCCCTCTCACCTGGGCATGGGATGGCACCTAGGAGCTTCCCTTTCCAAGCTAGGAAACATCCCTAGTTGGCAACCCTCCCACTCCTCACACTCCTGGGGCCAGCAGAGCTACCCTAGGCCACCTTCTAGCCTGTCTCATCTACACACATCCATTGGAGTGTCCAGTTCCCTCACTTGGAGGATAGGGAGCATTTGGGTCTTACCACCACTCTAGGGGCCACATTGGCAAGGTGGGCAGGTCATAGCTGGCATAGGAATGAGGAGGTTTGGAGGTTGCAAAAGGATAGAGTGGGTAGTCTACAGGGTAACAGGGTCTCTGGAACTGTCTGGGTCTCCTGGAGCAGGCCACCCCCCCAAAAGTGCCAACCAATGAGAGAAGGGGGCTGAAGTCTGCCAGCAGGGGCCCCTTTGTGGCTCCCACCAAGACACTTGTGGTCTAGCTTTGACCTGGTTCTGGGCTAGGGTTAGGGAGGTGCAGATAGGGACCCTGGCAGACTGTGGGCTGTCACAGGTGCTCGGATTCCACTCCTCTCCCAGAGGTTCCCCAGGTCCTGGAGGGAAGCAGTAGTACCCTAGACACAGCCCCTCCTTTGTGGAACCTGGCTGGTCCTGCCCTGCCCTATTTGCTGGTGACCTCAGCCAGCACGCTCATTCTCTCTGAGTCATGCTCTTCCTGAGGAGGAGGACTAATAGCTTTGGCTTGTCCTGGCTGAGGACCCTGGGGGTGGCATGTGTGTGCCAGGCCTTCTCAAAGGCAGGCTGGCCCCAGGGCCTGCTCCACCTGGGGCCTGGGGAGGGGCATGAGTGATGGGCAGTGGGAAGATGGCCTCAAGATGGCTGGTGTTTTTAGTTTGTGGCTGGGTTTGCATAGCCTGCAGGAGCTGCCCTCACCTCCCCCTGTAGCTGGTTAGGGGAAGGACCTGAGCCAAGACCCCCTGACCCAAATCCCCTTTCCCTCTGCCCTCAGCTCACACTGCTGGTGGTCCAGGTCAGCATCCTCTACTATGGTGGCCACCTCGTCATCTCAGGGCAGATGACCAGTGGCAACCTCATCGCCTTTATCATCTATGAGTTTGTTCTGGGGGACTGCATGGAGGTAAGGGGTAGAAAGAGGCATCTGGGGAGAAGAGTAAAGTATGGGGAAGAGGGGGTAGGGGGGTGGAGGATACTCCCAGGAGGTGTGAAGAGTGTAGGGGAGAGATTATAATCATACCAAGAATAACACTGTTGGCTGGGCACAGTGTCTCATGCCTATAATCCTAGTACTTGGGAGGCTGAGGTGGGTAGATTCCTTGAGCTCAGGAGTTCAAGACCAGCCTGAGCAAGAGCAAGACTCCATATCTACTGAAAATAGAAAAAAAATAGCTGGACGTGTGGTAGGAACCCATAGTCCCAGCTACTTGGAAGCTGAGCTACTTCAGCTGAGCTCAAGCTGAAGATCGCTTGAGCCCAGGAGTTTGAGGTTGCTGTGAGCCAGGCTGATGCCATGGCACTCTAACCTGGTCAACTGAGTGAGACTCTGTCTCCATAAAGACAAAACAAAACAAACAACAACAAACAAAACCTAACACTACCAAAGGGTAACAACTAGTTTTTCAAGCAAAGTGGCAGTAAGTGATTTCAGGAAGTGGCATTAGAACTTAATAAGAGGTTTAGATGCTGCAGAAATTCCCATTTCTCAGAAAAGGAAGCTGAGGCTCAGAGAGTTAAGTGACTTGTCCACCAGTTTTGTGGGGGAACAGGTTTCAAAACTAGCTGGTCCTCCTCTTAGCCCACTTCAAGGGCAGCACCATAGAAAAAGCAAGGGCTGTTTTAGGTTATGTCTTGATTGAGGCTCCCGCATAATTAGAGTGTCACCGATTTATCTGGGATGCGATCCCAGGAAATGGGGGGTGTGTGGAAAGTGAGACAAGAAGTCAGCCATGGGTGGGTTATGGAGCTGGTTACCAGTATGGACAACTAAGGCTTGATCCTTTCAGGGGACAGCATAGGACTCCAGGCTCAGAGTCATCCCCTTGAGGGCCAGGAAGCTATTGTCCCTACTCAGGGTGCATCAGTCATTGTTCAAGGTCAGCATGGAGTGGGGGTGTTAATTCACTAGTCTGGATGTGGGAAGAGCACTAGCAGCATCTGCTACTGCAACTCATATCTGCCAACTCATATCTGCTGTACCCAACCCAGCAATAATCCTGCCTCTGGGAATCCGTGCTCTGAAAACACACCAGGGGGCAAAGGTGGAGGTCCAAGGATGTTCAATGCAACGTTGTTTATAATGATGAAAAATAAAACCTCTTTAAATGCCTAGCAGTAGGGGGTAGATAAATAAATATGTTTGGTATGCTGACATTCCAGAACTGGTCTATCTGTACTGTAAAATCTAAGAACAGGGTAGATCTGTGTAAACTGGTGTGTAAAGATCTCCAAGACATGCTGTTAAGTGCAAACGACAGATCTCTGATCAGTAGAGATAGTTTGATCCCATTTGTGTGCTTTTTTTTTCTTTTTTTTTTTTTTTTAGAGATAAGAGTCTTACTTTATCACCCTTGGTAGAGTGCTGTGGCGTCACAGCTCACAACAACCTCCAACTCCTGGGCTTAGGCGATTCTCTTGCTTCAGCCTCCTGAGTAGCTAGGACTATAGGCACCCGCCACAACACCTGGCTATGTGTTGTTGTTGCAGTTTGGTTGGGGTCGGATTCGAACCTACCACCCTCATATATGGGACCAGTCCCTACCTGCTGAGCCATAGGCGCTGCCTGCATTTGTGTACTTTTTAAAAGTCTCAAAACTATTATTATATTTTTTGCTTTTTAGAGACAGGGTCTTGTTCTGTTGTTCAGGCTGGAGTGTAGTGTTACTCCAGGGCTCAGGTGATCCTCTGCCTGAGCTTCCTGAGGAGCTGGAATTAATAAGCATGTACCACCTTGCCCAGCTATTTTTAAAAAATTTTGTAGAAATCGGGCTCACCATTTTGCCCAGGGTGGTCTTGAACTCCTGGCCTCAAAGGATCCTCCTGCCTTGGCCTCCTAAAACTCTGGAATTACGGGCATGAGCCACCATACCTGGCCTCAAAATTATTTAGTGTATATGTGTGTGTGTTAATAAATGCACAGAGCGGACTCGGCACCTATAGCTCAAGTGGCTAAGGCGCCAGCCACATACACCAGAGCTGGCAGGTTCAAATCCGACCCAGGCCTGCCAAACAATGACAACTACAACCAAAAAAATCTGGGCATTGTGACGGGCACCTGTAGTCCCAGCTACTCAGGAGGCTGAGATAAGAGAATCACTTAAGCCCAGGAGTTGGAGGTTGCTGTGAGCTGTGATGCCACGGCGCTCTACCCAGGGCAATAGCTTGAGTCTCTGTCTCAAAAATAAATAAATAAATAAATAAATATGCACAGAGAAGGGACTGGAAAGATACAGTACACTGATAACTATGGCAACCTCTGGAATGAGGGACAACTACTACATAGTATTGATATCTGAATGTTAATACTGTGACTATTAAAAAGAACATCTTGATATTATTGGTAACAATCATAGCTATGGGTCTGGGAGTATTTACTCTGTGCCAAGCACCATCTTTGCAGTAAGAGGACATGGATGCTAATATTATCCCCATTCCACCAAAGAGGACAGTCAGTTATAGCACTTAAGAGCCTGATTGGGAGAGCACTGTGTGTGACACACCTCTTGGGGTCAGGACACTATTAGTAGAGGGACTTCGCTCAGCAAACACAAGCAGTGTAACCTGGCTTATTGTACCCACAATGATTCCCCAACAATTAAAAAGGAAAAGCCTTAATCGGGAGCCAGATGGGCCTGGATTTAAATCTTGGCTCTACCACTTCCCAGCTGTGTGACCTGGGGCAAATTACTTGAGCTCTCTGTGCCTGAGTTTTCCCATCAGCAAAAAGGAGATAATGATAGAACATACCTCATAACATGTAGAAAGTGATCAATAGGTCAGCGCTCATAGCACAGTGGTTATGGCACCAGCCACATACAAGGAGGCTGGTGGGTTCAAAACCAGCCCAGGCCAGCTAAAACAACAATGACAAGTGCAACAAAAAATAGTCAGGTATTGTGGTGGGCACCTGTAGTCCCAGCTACTTGGGAGGCTGATAAGAGAAACACTTAGGCCCTAGAGTTTGAGGTTGCTGTGAGCTGTGAGGCCACAACACTCTACCAAGGGTGACAAAGTGAGACTCTGTCTCAAAAAAAAAGAAAGAAAGTGGCTCAGCGCCTGTGGCTCAAGTGGCTAAGGCGCCAGCCACATACACCTAAGGTGGCGAGTTCGAATCCAGCCTGGGATTTGAACTCACCCAAACAACAATGATGGCTGCAACCAAAAAATAGCCGGACACTGTGGCAGGCGCCTGTGGTCCCAGCTACTTGGGAGGCGGAGGCAGGAGACTCGCTTGAGCCCAGGAGTTGGAGGTTGCT